TCTTCATCCCCTGGACTAGCATAGGACCTAGGAAAAACAAGATGTGGATCATAAGATAAGTTCCTTCTGTACCACTCACTCGCAGATGACTAAGATACTAGAATGCTTCCTCAATATTTTTTATAAGGCTAACTTAATACTTTATTACATTCTTTTGATTGCTTTTATATGCTAGCAGCATTACTCTAGTGCTATCTTTGCAACTTCTGCCTGCGATTTTTATTGATTGAATTATACCAAATGATGGGACACTGCCCCTACCCAAACAGAAGAGGTTAAACATAGGCAGAACCTGGTCTCTGACTAGAATAGAAAGATAAGTGAAGCATTTGTGAATTTTTATATAGACCAGGAGAGTCAGCAGCTAATGAAACCATTCTAAAGGACACAAAGAACTCCATGATTAGAGAACTAAGAATTAGCCTGTCAGACATGGTGGCTCATGCCTGTAATCCCAGCTACTTGAGAGGTGGAAGCAGGAGGATCATGAGTTTGAGGCCAGCCTGAGAGAAGATAACAGTGAGACCCTGTCTTAAAAACAAAAAAGGCCAGAGGTGTGGCTCAAGTGGTTCAGCATTTGGCCTAGTATGTGCAAGGCCCTCGGTTCAATCCCTAACACCACAAAAAGATAGATAGATAGATAGAAAGAAAGGAGAGGAGAGGGGAGGGGAGGGGAGGGGAGGGGAGAGGAGGAAGGAAGGAAAGAAAAGAAAAGAAAGAAAGAATGAATTAGCATGTCAAAGAATTGAAGGAAAGGGCACCCTGAGAATCAGTGAGTACAGCAGCAACTCAGGGTGAATTAGTACAACCCATTTTGTGTCTGAGGAGTCTTTTCAAGTGGCTGGATACAGAAAATTTAGCATTACATTAGGTTTTTTTGTGCAAACAAAAATTCTAACAAAATAGCATAACCTAGAAATAAGTTTATAAAAGTTTTATTTCTCACACAGTTCTGGAAGCTGAGAAGTTCAAGATGAAAATGTTGGCATCTCCTAAGGGCTTTGTTGTTATTCCTTCACATGGTAGAAGAGCAAAGAGAAAGAGGCAAAACAAGGGTGAACTTGTGTTTTATAAGGAACCCACTCCAACAATAATGGCATTAATAGATAGATAACAAAGCAGAACCCTTTTGGCTTCTGGTGGCCACAGTGTCATGCTTCTATAATCCTAGCTACTTGGGAAACTAAAGGAAGAAGATTGCTTGAGCCTGGGAATCTGAGCTAGCCTGGGCAACATGTGAGATCCCATCTCAAAAAAAAGAAGAGACCTACTTTTTTGTGGGGCGAAGGGGTATTAAACTTCAGAGGGGATATTCAAACAACAGCAGGAGTGACTGGGGGTACATTTTACAAAACTTTTTAACAGCTCTTGGAGGAAGAATTGAATAAGAATGAAAGTAGAGAGATTATGGCAGTAGCTCAGAAAAGCATTTAGAAAGGCTTAATTTAAAGTAAGTTCTTAAGAATGGAGGTAGAAGTAGAGGTGGGAGCTTGAGAACTATTTAGACAATAGAATCAGCTGGTCTTATGAGCTGTTTTTGGATGTAGAAAAGGGAAATGGAAGAGCCCACTTCTGATTTAGGCAAAGGGGACCACAGGGATGGACAAAGTGTGTGAAAAGAGGGCTCTTGACCAAAGGTGAAGAGACAGCTTGTAGAAGCTGTCCATAGGGAAATACCTAAGTACACAGAGTTAGGAGAAGAGGTTTCAAGATAGAATGAGGAGGCCAGGAACATCAAAGGGACAACAAGTTGGGGAGCAAACACCTGACCTAGGAGAAGCTAATGCAGTGTGGTCTGAGTGGAAGAAATCAGATTGAGTAGATGAGGCTTGAGAGGAGATGGGACAAGACTTTTTAAAGACACCCTGAACAAGGAAGCAGGATAGTGAAAGTAGTCCTTAAAGGGGAAGATTGATGGGATTGTAAATTTACTTTTTGACACTTTAAAAAACTTTGTATTTGGAAATAATTTCAAATATACAAAAAAATAAGAGTAAGAATAGGGTAAAACACCTTTTATTCAAATTCACCTGTAGTTAACATTTTGTCTGATTTTGTCCTCTTGGTCTCTCATACATAAATTTAAAAAAATCATTTGAAAGCTTACATATTTCATGGCCCTTAACCCCTAAATACTTAATTATATATTTACTAAGGGTAGGAATATTCTCTTACCTAACTACAGTACAGTTGTCACCTTTCATAGATTTAAAGTAATACTGCTTTAATCTGCCATCCATATTCCAACTTTGTCAGTTGACACAGTTTTTTCATAATAGTTTTACCCTCCAGTACAGATCCAGTTGAGGTAAGGTGTGAAATTTAGCCTATTTTAGTCTAGAACATCTGTATAGCTTTTGTCTTATAAAAGTGATTACTTTTGAAAAGTACAATTTCCCTCTCCCCTTTTAATAGAACATTGTTCATTTGAGATTAACGTGATACTTCCTTATGATTCCATTCACATAGTACATTCTCATAAGTGATGTCCTCAGGGTGTCACTACTGGAAGCACATTATGTCCATCTGTCCCCATTAGAGATGTTAATTTAGAATACTTGGCCAACTCATTATCTAATTTCTCTATGTGGAATTACCATTTTTCTTTCTTGCAACTAATAAGGAGTCTATGTGATAATATTTAAGACCAAACAGATACCCTGCTCCTTGTCAGAATTTCCTCCTAGATTTAGAATCCATTGGTAATTCTCCCCTGATCCAGTCTTAATCCAATAGTTGCATAGTACTGATTTTTTTTCCCAATTTTACCATTCCCTCCACATTTACCAACCAGTGCCCACATTCTGCTGTAAGCAAAAGGCCTGCCTTTTTCTCCTTAGTTTATATCTGTAGGGGCTTACGAGATCCTGTTTTTTGTTGGTTTATAATTCATTTCTCTGCTTAATTATTGTGGTACCTAAACAGAATGTTTAAACTGGCTCTTGTAGTACTGTGACATGCTCCATCATGATCCTCCTTACTTGCTGGTCACAACATAATGCCCCAGCTCATCCCTGACTCCAGCCTAGAACCAGTCATTTCTGTAAGGACCTTCGTTCTTAGTAGGGAATAGTAGTAGAAACCAGGAATAGGCTACTTGGTGTGCTCATTACCACTGAGGTGCTTTTTACTTCTTGACTTTTTCAGGAAACAGCTAAGGAGTATATGTGTGTATATACAAATATACATACAACTAAAATTGTATGCACTGATATACATATGCACATGTACACACACATTAAAAATGACTTGACACCAATACCTCCGATTTATTCCAAGGTTCTTTTTTGCCTTTCCTTCATATTTTTATGTGCTTTCTTCCCAGGATAAGCCTGGCTCCCATCAAAATCAACACGTGATCATTCAGTTCCATAATACAACTAACATTGTTTCACAATCACTTTGCTCATACTGCAACAGAAAACAAACCTGCTGAAAATAGCTGGCTGTTTGCAGCTCTTCCTACATCCTCCACCAATCTTCCATAGACTGAATGTATATATTAAAATGTGTTCCTAAATTACATGGATTAGTTCTTTTGTTTGTGTTTGTTCGTTCCCTTCTCAGAGACTGGTATTCATTTGAAACACAAATGAGTTCATTTGTTTCTGTTTGCTTCCTGTTTCAGAAGTTTTCTGCCCCTTTTTCATCCTCGTTAATTTAGTTTTACTTGAACATGCAGAACATCATCATGTTCTATAAGTAAAAAGCTGTACTTAGAGTGTCTCTTTGTTCCCAATCTCTTCTGCTTTACTATCTTACTCCAACCCTTGTAAGTATCATTTACTGATACCACTATAAAGATAAGTAGATGTACATTTATTTCTTACTTCTTCTGACACACAACTTAATATCTATGCTTTTTTTTCCTACCTTTTTCAATTTTACAATACGGTATTTACTGGGAATTGCTACATATCAGTAAGAGATGGTCCTCATTCTTTTTTAGTACTCCATTCTGCATATGTATTGTAGTTTATTTGGCTAGACTTCTGTGCTTGGGCATTTAGGTAGTTTTCCAGATTTTGTACTTACCAGTAGTGTTATATTAAATAACTTTGTGTGTATAGACTTTTCTACTGTTTGAAGTGTATCTTCAGTGTAAATTTCTTAAGTGGGATTTCTGGATGAAGAGGAAGCGCTTATGTAGTTGTGTTAGATATCTGCAAATTCTCCATCTCAGGGGTTGTGCTGTTTTGCATTCTTAGCAATGTATGAGAATACCTGTCTCATCAACTGCCTGGTCAACAGGGTATATTGTAAAGTTTTGAATATTTGTTAGTGTAATAAGTGAGAAATAGTATCTTACAGTAGTTCTTTTTTGGGAGGAATGGGCTTGCTGAATTTGAGCTCAGGGCTTAAGATTTGCAAGGCAGGTTCTGTACTGCTTGAGCCATACCTCTAGTCCATTTTGCTGTAGTTATTTTGGAGATGGGAGTCTCAAACTATTTGCCCAGGCTGACCATGAACCACAATCCTCCCGATCTTAGCCTCCCAAATAGCTAAGATTACAGGTGTGAGCCACTGTGCATAGCTCTTACATTAGTGTTTATTTATAGTCCCTTAGTGAAACTGAATATCTTTTCACATTTACTATTTTTTTGTGAATTGTCTATTCGTGTCTTTTGACTTTTTCTGAAGGATTTTGGTCTTATTTTCCTTGAGTTTTTTAATGTTCTTTATATGTTTGGAATATTTGCCCTTATAAATAGTATATGCAACAAATATTTTCTTCCACCTTATCAATTACTTTTCAATATTGTTTATTGTACTTTTACCATAAAATTGTATTGTTATATAGTTAAAAATCAGTCTTTTATTACATCTAGGTTATAGTTAGAAAGCTATCTCTATACTTAGATCATAGAAGCCTTCACCCATGTTTTCTTCTATTAGCTTTTTTTTTTTTAATTAGGTCTATTCATTTGGAGTTCATTCCTTTGTGTGGTGTAAAGAATGTATCTAACTTTCTTTCTTTCTCCAGATGGTTTTATAGTGGCTACAACAGTATTAAAAAGCTGTCTTTTCCCCCCAGCAATTTGAAATACCATCTTTTATCATTGATTTCTATGTGTAGTCCAGTTTCTGGACATTTCTATTCCTTTGTCTATTTGTATGCCAGTACCACACTGCTTTAATTAGAGAGACTTTGTAGTACATTTTAATAGCAAGTATAGCCAGTATCCCCTCAGAGCTCTTACTTTGCTTTTTTCCTTAGCAATTTTTGTATGTTTATTTTGGGTGATTTGTTTTATGGCTATAGAAACCTGAATATCTTTCTGTCCTAAGACCTAATGTGAATAGAAGTGGAAGGGCCAAGTTTGAAAAGGAAATGAAAGGAAGGAGCAGGAACCTGATGTGTGGGACCAGCATTCAGAGCACAGATGAAAGGTGTGTTGCTGCTGATGGTTCTTAAACTCCACTACATCTAACAGCCTCACATTTTAATTGATGTGGTCTGCTCTGCCCAAAGTAATAAAGGGAGACAGAGAACAAGGCTGTGCCACCATTCTTCAGTGCCCTCTGATAATCTCTTACTTAGTACTTAAAATTATGTTATACTTAGCTATTTAGTAGTCATTTTGTGATGCTCTCTCAGCTGAACTACTTTTTGGTTTAAGTTCTACTGAGCAGTCCTTTATCTTCCTCGTGGCCTCCTGAGTTACTAATTTCTTCTCCTAGTCTATAAATTTTAATTTGGAGTCCATCATTCCCATAAACATAAGTTGGACCATAAGTGTGATTGGTTATACATGTCCACCCCAAAGTATATATCTTACTTCCCTTTTATTGCCTGTTTCTTACTTACATATTTGCATACAGAATTTTCTGAGTAGGATTCACAGAATTTCAGAGTAGTGATCCAAGAGCCAAATCATAGAATGAGAGGAGAAGATCCAAATTTTTACTAAATCTAATCACAAATGTTTCATTTTTAAGGTTTGGGGATAACTAACTTACAGCACTTTTTCTTCTCAGTATGTCAGTAGGTGAATACTAAAGGAGCAAGTACAGAGTGCCTTCTTGGGAACACATGATCCTTGCCTGAGTCCTAAAATCTGCTTTGGGAAGTTTGCCTTTTCTGAGCCATGTTTTTTTGTCTGCAGGTTGTGACTACAATCCAATAGCCTGACCTTTAATACTATAGTAAATAATAAAATAATAGTAATGTGCACTACTCACCAAGGGACAGACATTGTTTTCTGTGCTTTTTTTTTTTCTAACGTGTTACTTATTATTCACAACAACCTTATGCTTTCATTTTACAGGTGATGAAACTGCTGTCCAAAGAGGCTAATTAGCTCTCAGGGTAATACAGCAAGATATTTGAACATAGGTGGTATTTCTGTCCTTGGTATCTGTGAAGGATTGGTTCCAGGACCCCTATAGGTACCCAAATCTGCTGCAGATGCTCAAGTCCCTTGTATAAAATGGCATAATATTTGTATATTACCCTGTGCACCTCTTCCTGTACACTTTAAATCTCCTAGATTATTTATAATGCATGAAACTGTAAATGCTTTGTAAATCTTTGTCATGCTGTATTTGTTAGGGGAATAATTATAAAGAAGAAGGGCAGTACATGCTCAGAATAGATGCAGTTCTGTTTTTCTTAATATTTTTATCTACTGCTGGCTGAATTTTCAGGTGTGGGAACCTGCAGATATATAGTGCCAACTGTACTTCCTTTGCTTAATGGTTTGTGTTTTTGCTTCTAATCTGTGATGTTCCCTGTGGTTAACTTGTTCATAAGTCAGAATGAAAGCTTCATTCCCTGGCAGGCTAGAGCATGTTCTTCCATATGCAGTTCTTTCTTGACTACCCACTTTCCAGGGTCAGTGTTATCCTTGGAGGGAAAGTCCAGGAGGCCAAACTAACTCCCAGCAGCTGCAGGTTGCTTTCTTTCTCATTTCTGCAGTGACTATCTTCATGATTTCATAACCACAACCATCTCCCTGACACTTCTACTCAGGTACTGATTTCTGCTTTCTTTGGTTTTGCTTGTTCTCTGCTTATTATGTACAACTTTTCTTAACTAAAAACACGCCTAACTTTTGTTTTATTAGTCTTTCTTTTTCCATTCAGAACTTTCTTCCTTTTTTTTTTTTTTTTTAATGTCAAGTAACACTTTTCAAAAACTGATTGTGGTTCTGTGCATCATTTCAACCCAGCTCGACTTGCCCTGATGTTAGTCTCTTATCCATGAAAAGCCTGTTGCTGCATTAGCAATCCAGGCTGTAGTGTTTTAACATTAGTTCCTCAGGGACAGAAATTTTGTCGTGTCCACCATTGTATCCCCAGTACTTAAAATACTACTTATACACAGTACGCAGTCAATAAATGTTTGTCAGGTGGATGAGTGAATTTTGATGTTGTTATTTCACTATTTTCTAAACAAAGTGAACAGGTTTCATTTTCATTTTTTGGTTTAGTGTCACATTTGAAGATAGGCACTGAGGATGAAGAATCAACAGAGAAGAATGAAGATGTTGGAAATGCAGAATCTCAGTGGTCAAAAGTGGAAGGTCTTCATGAGGATCATATGCAGGAATCTAATACTGGTGGAACTTATGATTGGGACACCAAGGTAGAGAATCAATCAGAAAAGCCTGAGTGGAAAAGAATGAAGGAAGACAGAACTGATATGAGAGAAAAGGTTGGCAAAGTGAAGAACATGGCAAATATAAAGACAGAAAAGGAAGATGAGGCATCTGAGAAAAGCTTGTACCTAAGCTCAAAGCAGATCACATACCAGAATGTCTCTGCAGAACAAAATAGCAGTGAACAAGGCAAATGTGTGGAAAACATTAATGGAAACTCTCACTCCATACTGCAGCAGCAATCCAGTGCTGTAAAGAAATCACATAAATGTGAGGAGTGCGGGAAATCCTTCAAATATAATTCCCGTCTTGTTCAACATAAAATTATGCACACTGGGGAAAAGCGCTATGAGTGTGATGACTGTGGGGGGACTTTTCGGAGCAGTTCTAGCCTTCGAGTTCACAAACGGATCCATACTGGGGAGAAGCCCTACAAGTGTGATGAATGTGGGAAAGCCTATATGTCCTATTCCAGCCTCATAAACCACAAGAGCACCCATTCGGGGGAGAAGAATTGTAAGTGTGATGAGTGTGGGAAATCCTTCAATTATAGCTCTGTTCTAGACCAGCATAAAAGGATCCACACTGGGGAGAAGCCCTATGAATGTGGTGAGTGTGGAAAGGCCTTCAGGAACAGTTCTGGTCTCAGAGTCCACAAAAGGATCCACACAGGGGAGAAGCCCTATGAATGTGACATCTGTGGGAAAACATTCAGTAACAGTTCTGGCCTGAGGGTCCACAAAAGGATCCATACAGGTGAGAAGCCCTATGAATGTGATGAGTGTGGGAAGGCATTCATTACTTGTAGAACACTTTTAAACCATAAAAGCATCCACTTTGGAGACAAACCTTATAAATGTGATGAGTGTGAGAAATCTTTTAATTATAGCTCTCTCCTCATTCAGCATAAAGTCATCCACACTGGAGAGAAACCTTATGAGTGTGATGAATGTGGGAAGGCCTTCAGGAACAGCTCAGGCCTCATAGTACATAAAAGAATCCACACAGGAGAGAAACCATACAAGTGTGATGTCTGTGGAAAAGCATTTAGCTATAGCTCAGGCCTTGCAGTCCATAAAAGCATTCATCCAGGGAAGAAAGCCCATGAATGTAAGGAATGTGGAAAATCCTTCAGTTATAACTCACTGCTTCTTCAACATAAAACTATTCATACAGGAGAGAGACCTTATGTATGTGATGTGTGTGGGAAGACTTTCAGAAATAATTCAGGCCTCAAAGTCCACAGGAGGCTCCATACTGGGGAAAAACCATATAAGTGTGATGTGTGTGGGAAAGCCTACATCTCACGCTCTAGCCTTAAGAATCACAAAGGAGTCCATCTAGGGGAGAAGCCCTATAAATGTAGCTATTGTGAGAAATCCTTCAACTACAGTTCTGCCCTTGAACAGCATAAGAGGATTCATACAAGGGAGAAACCCTTTGGGTGTGACGAGTGTGGAAAAGCCTTCAGAAACAATTCAGGCCTTAAAGTACATAAACGAATCCACACTGGGGAGAGACCTTATAAATGTGAAGAATGTGGGAAAGCCTACATCTCACTCTCAAGCCTTATAAATCATAAAAGTGTACACCCTGGGGAAAAGCCCTTTAAATGTGATGAGTGTGAGAAAGCCTTCATCACATATCGAACCCTTTTAAACCACAAAAGAATTCATCTTGGGGAGAAACCCTACAAATGTGATGTGTGTGAAAAGTCTTTTAATTACACCTCACTCCTTTCTCAACACAAAAGAGTCCACACCAGAGAGAAACCCTATGAATGTGATAGTTGCGAGAAGGTCTTCAGAAACAACTCAAGCCTTAAAGTTCATAAGAGAATACATACTGGGGAGAAGCCCTATGAGTGTGATGTGTGTGGAAAAGCCTACATCTCACACTCAAGCCTTATTAACCATAAAAGTACCCACCCTGGCAAGACACCCTATACATGTGATGAATGTGGAAAAGCTTTTTTCTCAAGCAGAACTCTTATAAGTCATAAGAGAGTCCATCTTGGGGAGAAACCCTTCAAGTGTGTTGAGTGTGGGAAATCTTTCAGTTATAGCTCACTCCTTTCTCAACACAAGCGGATCCACACAGGGGAGAAACCCTATATATGTGATAGGTGTGGGAAGGCATTCCGGAACAGCTCAGGCCTCACAGTGCATAAAAGGATTCACACAGGGGAGAAACCCTATGAATGTGATGAGTGTGGAAAGGCATACATCTCACATTCAAGTCTTATTAATCATAAAAGTGTCCACCGTGGGGAGCAGCCCTTTAATTGTGAGTGTGGGAAATCTTTCAATTATAGATCAGTTCTTGACCAACACAAAAGGATCCACACTGGAAAGAAGCCATACCGATGCAATGAGTGTGGGAAGGCATTTAATATCAGATCAAATCTCACTAAGCATAGAAGAATCCATACTGGAGAGGAATCTTTAAATGTGACAAATTTGGAAACTAATAGTGGCTCATCCCAGAAGAGAACCTGTGAGGGAGGTAATGTGTTGGATGGGACCAGGATGAGGATGCCTCTGTGGGAAGTAGACCTTACCAAATCTCAAAGAACTCAAATGGAAGAAAAACCTTACGAATGTAAGAATTTCTGAGGTCCTTATTCATGGCTTACAGTTTTCATAGTATAAATGAAATTATTCTAGATCATGAGTAATATTTTCTGTGTAGTTTTCAATCATAGCCAGCAAGGAAGGCTCCATTGTCAGGATAGTAGAGCCCTTTTGCAATATAAAATAGATCACACTGGGGATAAAATGTATCAAAGTGATGAAATATTCTTAAAATTCCCAAAATACCAGACATTTCTGGACATAAATATACAGACAAGGAAAGGACTTCAATTATAAATCTCACAGTTGCTATCAGAAAGTTCTTATTTGGGTAAATGATATGAAAAGAAATGTAAGAAATTCAGGCATAACTGAATCCCAATTGTACTTTGGTCAGTGGGGGAAAAAAATCCAATAAGGGCCTCTAGCAGGCAAATTCAGGGAGAGAAAGACTTCAGGGAATAAAAATTTATTAATTAGTGATCATGAATTAAATTTTTTGATTAATTTTTTATTAAGAAGATGGATAAATGCCATCTTCTGAAACAAACTTTAGATTTCTTTGTAGGAAAAGTTAAAAAACATAGACTGTTGAAAAATCTAATAGGAATAGGAGAGACCCAGAAATGCAAATTGATTGGAATATGCTGTTGTAATACACTAGTTGAAAGGGTAAAACTTTTTAGATTTTCAAATGAACCCCCTCAATGAATGTGTGATGAGTGAAAGCCTGAAATGTGGTATTCACACATTATGCTACATGAAAGGTTCCATCATGTAGAGGATTTCTGCATCTTTAATGGAACACATCTTCAATGTGGATTTGCACCTTACCAAAAAAAAAAGAATCATTCAGGGATTCCTATGAATAGGAATGTTGGGAAGGAGGCATTTTACTGCAAAAGCTGAAAAGCTAAGTAGCTACCAGTAAAAGGAGAGAGGAGGAAATTATGTCTTTTAATAATCTCGTTAAATGTTTGTTTTAGAATGTGTTGTAAAGATTTCATGCACTAAACATGTATGCATATTCTCTTGTAAAATACGAATACTGTGTTCAGGGCTCACTCTGCCATAAAGGCCAGATAGTTGTGGTGAAGTAAAGTGGAACTTTAATAAAGAAATTCCTCAAATATAAACAGGCTGTGCCTTGCTCTAGATGGAACGATATACAAAGCTATTTACGTGTCTTTTCTTTGTGGAGTAAGTTAGAGCCAAACCAGAGAGGGCAGCAGGAGACTCATACCACAGGGCCAGTAGCTTATGTTTCACCAGAAGTTAGCCAGGTGATCCTAATATTGGGGCTGGATGTGAGCAGGCCACATGAGTAATCATTTGTCACATAGGAACAATTTGTCAGGAATGGATTTTAAAATGAAATATTGTTAACCATGTAGAAGTGTTAGCTAGGTAACTCAAGTGGTAATAATTAGACTTTTCTGAGTAAGTAAGCTATCCACAAATATTGTGGGAGGACTTATCAGTAGAAGCACTTTTTTTTTTTTTACAAGAGACCAATCTCTAGTCATACTGTTTCCTGTCTAGGATTTCTGTCTCTCTAGCCAAGTAGTTTCCGTACTTCTTTGGGGATACTGGAAAGTACTTGGTCTCCAAAACCCTGCTAGTAGATTTTGATGGATGGGTTGAAGAAAGGGAGAGACAAATGTTTCTTCTACTCCACTTTGTCATGACCACACTTGCTATGTGTCATTCTCTACATGTGACACTGGCAAACCTAACCCTATCCAAAGACTTGGATTAATTTATTCAGCAAATATTTAATGAGAATCTGCTAGGCACGATCCACTGACATAGGCACTGGGTATGGAGAGGATGGGATCAGGAGTGCCTGTTAGATAAATAAGTGGGAAAGAACATAAGAAATGCACACACATACACATGGATGTCTGAATTAGGAAAATGACCATGGCCAACCAGGGAGAGGGAGGTATTGGAAGTGAAATTCAGTTTTCAAAGAGGAAAGAAACGGGATGGCCTGATCAAAAGCGCAAAGTATTCAGGCATCCTCCAGAGTGGCTGTTAGAAGAGGCTACAGAGTAAGTCATCAGTATGGATTGTTCTTCCACTTGCTGAAAAAAAGACCAGCTCTGTCTTGTTAACCTTGTTACCTGAGGATTCCATGTGACCAGGGCACTTGGTGTGCTTGTGGCTCTAGGTCCCCCCCCAACATCCCTAACCCCACATGAGCTCCAGCTGGATGTAAGGCACAATGAAGACCACTTCAGTAAAGAATAGCCACCTTTCAGATGGGGATCCTGAGCATGTCCATGTGCTGAATGCTGAGGACTCACTCCTACTGCAGCTCCATGTATGCAGATACACTGGAAATAGGCCCACGTTCTCTTGACCTGGGCCTTGAGTATACTTATGGCCAGGTAAGTGCTGCTCAGCTAATTTCAGCTGTGTAGGGTTCTCCTGGTCTCTAGCTGCTCCAAGTGGATATTGTTCAGATCCAATAGTGCAGGTGAGCCTGCTCAGGCCATTCCAGCAACATGAGGTGGTTAAGTTCCAGTCCTGTCTCCTTCCAGAGAATATGTAAGAAGGAAAAAATACAAATTATGGGGGCTGGAGGTGTGATGCAAGCAGTAGAGCACCTGCCTAGCAAGCATGAAGCCCTGAGTTCAAACCCCAGTACTACAAAAAAAAAAAAAGGTGCCAAACAGTCAAAACATTTTTTAATTATTTAATTCACAGAACTGAAGAGAATTGAAATGTTGGGCAACAATAAGTAAATTGGAAGCTGAAAGGTCTATGTCAAAAGTGGCTTAAAGTATTTGTGTTGTCTGGGAAGAAGGTCAAGATGTTTAACTAGATTTTATAAAGTCAGATATGTATGGAAGAAGGTCATAGGCGAGCATTAACAGGATAAAAGTAAAAGTACATAAATTTAAAAATGTGAAGTGTAAAACTTCATAAAGTGGAAGAACAGGTGGGACATTTCTGTTTCTGGTAAAAGGCTAGATTACTTGGCTCAATTTTCCATTGCGAATGAAAGATTGCATTTTTGAAATGCAGTATCCTGTAACGTAGTATGCCTGCTGCCTTAGTCCATTCAGGCTATGATAACATTTTCACAAACTGGGTAGCTCATAACCATTTATTTCTCAAAGTTTGGGAGCTGGCAAGTCTTTAACATCTACGCGCCCTCAGGCTGCATGTCTGGTGAGTCCATTTCCCAATTCATAAATGGGGACTTCTCACTATGTGCTCACATGGTGGAGCAGGAGCTGTGGGCCTTTATAAGGCATCAATTTCATTCATGAATGCTCCACCCTCATGACTTAATCACCTCCCAGAGCCAGCACCTTGTAATACCACTGCATTGGTGGTTAGGTTTCAACATACGAATTAGGGGGAAATGAACAATTAGACCATAGCATCTTCCCTCCTCTTTGAGAGAGCATTAAGGCTGAAAAGGCAAATGAATGAACCCAGGACAGTCTAAAAATGGGCTCCTGTAAGTAAAGAGGTGAATACCAGTGCAATTCATACTCTAGACTATCAGTGCTATTCAGTGGTTGAAAGGACCAGTTCCTCTCAAAGCAATGAATCTTATTGAACACTATTCCAAAGTTAAGATGGGGTCTAAAAGTGCTACACTATCAGGATAAAATAGGTTAGAGTGAAACCCCTGTCTCTCCACAAAGTGTAAAGGCAGTGACCTTGTTACTGAACAGAACAGTAGAAGAAAAAGAGAAAACATCCCTGATACGTACTTATGGACCAACCTTTACTCGGGTCTAAGCACAATCTGAAAGCTGGCAGATACAAACACAAGTCCAACCTCAGATAGCAAACTCATTTTTTTGAAGCAGGGTCTCACTACTTAGCCCTGGCTGGCCTCCTGAGGGCTGAGATTAGTGGTGTGTATCACCATACCCAGCTCTTGTCAATCATTTTTAAGGGCAATAATCAGTAAGCAGTCAAAGAGGATTAAATACATAGAGAAAATGCAACATAAATAAGAACCAACAGAAAGGAACAAACCCACATAAACTTCCCATATTGAGTTATCAGGTATACTTATGAAAACATCTGTGCTCAAAATACTTGGCAACAGAATGGGACTCGAGGAAACAGAATTACTGAGCCGAAATATGTGTGAAGAAGTTACCCAGAATGCAACTCTGAAGTAGGAAAACAGAAGGAGGAGGCCCATTGAGAAGTTTTAACATTTATTTGCTCATGGTTTGAGGACAAGGTGAAGAAAGGAGGCAAAGGGAGTTGAACTGACAGTGGCAACAATAGAAACCAAAACAGTAGAATAAAGTCAGTGTAAAGAGAAAATAATTGTCATCCTAGAATTTTATACCCAATGAAAATATTTTTCCAAGAATAAGGACAAAATAAGTACATTTTAAAACAAAACTTTGAAATTTTTTCACTTGAAAAGAAGAAAGTGTACTTCATTGATCCTCTGCAAAACTTACTAAAGGAAACTTTAAAGAACACCCTTTAATACAGAAAAAAAAAATCCCAGATGGTGTTCTGAGATGCAAAAATTAATGAAGAACAAAGAGAGAAAAATGTGTGGGCAAGTGTAAATGCACAATTTAAAGAAGACAATTGAAATTTTGAGTTCTTAAAATAGACTCAAATACCAAAGCAGAAATCAAGAAGAGATAAAAAGGATTGAGGCAGTTTATGTGGGTAAACATTTTGATTAACTTCATGTATAGTGTTAAATCTAGGGGAATCATAAAAAGTATAATTTCACTACTAGTACAGAAAAAATGAATTAAAAAATCAAAAGGGCAAGTGAAAGAAAAGAAACAGGCATGGAACAAAGAAGGAAAAGATCTTTTGTTAAATGACAAAGTTGTCAGGGCAAAAGTACAAGACACTACTATATGCTGCTTACAGGACACTCATATGTAAGGACACACAAAGTTTGAAAGTAAAAGAATGGAAATAAGTTATCGGAAGCTAATGGCAGGTAATAGAAACTGGTATGTCTTTACCAGTATTAACTGATATAAGAGATTTTAAGGCACAAAACATTCCTAGAGATAAAGGGACTTACTGCTTTACAATAGAAGTTTCAGGAAAGAAAATACTAGGAAGACATAACAGTCTTTAGTTAATGTCTACCTCATGATATAACTCAAAATTTGGCATGACAGAAGATTTTTTTTATAGTACTCACAGTAATAATAGCAGAAGCAGACTAAAAATAAAGATACAGATTTGGACAATGAGATTAACAGGTGATCTAATATATATATATATATATATATATATATATATATGCACTCTTGTACAAGAATATATGTATTTGGATCTTAGAATCTAGCTACTAAAACGGAAGTCTGTTATTAATATTTCCCAAAATAAGCACATTATGTAAGGAGGTACAAAAATAGTTTTTTCAGCTAGTGAGAGAATGCTAAGAAGCTACTATATCTCAACTGAGAAGACATAACAATAGATAGTACCAAATATTTTAACCAGAAATGAGCTCTTGTTTTTAATACAATTATCTAAAGAAGTTAGCATGATTTACTAAAATTTTATTTATTTGAATTTTGAAAGCTAAGCTATGTCCATCAGGAGTAATCTGTATTCTTGTTTTTAAAAGAAAACTTACCTGCACATGTGTTTATGGATATTAGCTAAAGAACTAGGATTACTTCTTTATGAATGTGAAGAATATTTGAAAGCTCACTGAATTCTCAACTACTAGGGATGTATCTCAATGGCAGAACACTTGCCTAGCACATCTAGGGCCCTTGATTCAATCACTAGCATGAAAACAAACAAGCAAACATTCTTTTCAAGCACCCAGGAAACATTTTCAGAAACTGATCATAATGTTAGGCCATAAGGCAAATCTCAAAAATTTTAAAGGATGGAAAAAAATAGGCGATAGTTCTCTTACCATGCAATTAAGCTAGAAATTAATAATAAAGATACCTAGAACATCCCTGTTACAGTTGGAAATGGACAAATATATTTCTAAATAAATTACCATTCAAAGAAGAAAATATTTCAAACTAAATGATAGTGAAGTACTACATATCAAAATCACTGGTATATTAAGTAGTGCTTAGAACAAGTTAAATTTATAGCCTAAATTTTTTTTAAAAAATCAGAAAACCTATTAATCACCTAAG